TATAAGGGAAGGCATTCTAAGTCAAGAGAACAGCACAGACAAAGGCAAAGTATCTTCTGGAGGCTGGAACTTCCTGGGAACAGCAAGTGACCATTTGCATAGACTACCTGGAAGGGAGTGTCAGCAAATGACACTGGAGGAGAACACAGGACTCGAGTCTTCTGGAATTTTGGCCTGAATCTTACAGGCAATGAGAGCAATAGCAAATAGTTTAATGAAGGAAGAGACGCGATCAAATTTACATTTGATTACATTTAAAATGTAATTGCAGAAGCAGATGAGGGTGAATTAGAAGGAAGAGAGACAACAAGGAAGTTATTACAATGATCCAGGAAAGAAACAATGAAAGCCTTCGCTAAGACAGCAACAATAATGAAAAAAGAGGAATGAATTGATTAAAGAGATGTTTTGGAGAGAGAAGAGTCTAGGGCAAATATCTGGTAGGCGGCTGTTGGTGATGACATTAACTAATATAAGGAAACACTGGGACGGAGCAGGTGGCTTATCCATGTTAGACACGGATAGAGCACAGGGGCAGTAGAGATAGTGAGTTTCTACAGGACATGCGGAGTTTGGGGTCTTTGCAGGACAGACTTGCTCTGCTTCGGTTTTGCATTTATTGCATGCAAAAATGGGGCTATTAAGGCAAGAAAAAGAAAGAATATTTTATTCTTTTTTCAGTCTACTATGATAACCTACAGTACAGGTAAAGATTACACATGGCAACTTCCAAAATCTTAGGAAAGAGCGAGGAAACTTAAGAACAGCAGGGGTTTTATACACATGTACTTTGGTAGGTGTCTGTGCCTGCTGCTTGTCCTTTTACGTGAGAGTCAGTCACATGGGCTTTGGTGTGAAGCCATCCACCGACAGGACCATTATTAATAGCTCCTGAGGTTGGGAGTAGCGATGATATTGAAGGTCACAGGCTCCATTACCATACAGAAACCAGTCACAATGCATAGCCCCAGGCTCAGCTGGCATTCTCATAACACACGGCCATGCTCGGGTGGATGAATCCAGTCATAGAGATAATGACCAAGCCCAGAAGCCAATAATCGACTCAGAAAACGTGACCTGCCAGTAGGAAGTGGTGACCTCACATGCCACAGTCATTCATTGTCAAGTCCTGTGTGCTCAGCATGTGTGCAGCCACCTAGGCCTAATTTGCAATACAAACTCTGAAGCCCAGACAGAGAGAACTAGGAAGGAGGCGTGGGGCAGTTGGGGTCTAATAAGAAAGGTTAAAAGTGAATGAGGATAGACACGTCTTTAGAGCCTACGGGGAGGAAGTGGGGAACACACCCCATTCCTCTGACAACAAAGGTGAAAGTCTGACTCCAAACTTCGGTGAAAAGAAAATTCAAAAGACAAGTTCCAATTTAGTTTCCAATGGCAATGAGAAGATGATGGAGAACTTTTCCTTAGAAAACGTACTATCAAAGCTTAGGTGCAGCATCCTCCTCTTCCACCTTTTAACAAGACTTAGACACACTGAAAAATATTTTTAAGCGCTACAGTTAAAACAAGGCTGGGTGGGTTTGTGGCTTCTCACTGGGGCTATTCTTCTCTTCTACAATGATTTCCTGTTTCTAAGTCAAACGTGGGGTCGACATGATAACACTGCAAGAAAAATAGGCCTGTAAAGCCAAAAGCAGGGCTTAGAGCACAGTAGAGGAAACTACTCTTTTATGTCTCAAACGCAGCTCTTTCCATGTGAAAGTCAGGCATTTATAGTGTGGTCGGTTTGG